ATACATGAAGACACACAGTAAATAAATGTAATTCTTAATTTAAAAAGAACGAGACCTTGATTTGATAGAATTAATGTCCTTATCCAAGCACAAAACAAAACGGACTGGGCATGGTGGTTCAGGCAAAACACTCTGAGTTCAAGGCAAACTTGGTCAATACAGCAAGTTCCAAGCCACCCAGGGCTGGGGATGTGGCTCAGTGGGAGAGCACCTGCTTAGAATCCCCAAGTGAGGGGCTGAGGATATGGCTCAACCTTTAAAGTTTTGCATGGCCAAGGCCCTCAGTTCAATTTCCAACACACCGTAAAACAACCTCTTGGATCTATGAGGAGATCAAGACAGGAAGTTACTTGTAGTTTAGACCATCATGATGGAGCTATGTGATTTCTAGACTCACTGTACCTTAACATTCTGTTCTCTCTCTCTCTCTCTCTCTCTCTCTCTCTCTCTCTCTCTCTCTCTCTCTCTCTCACACACACACACACACACACACACACACACACACACACACATACACACACACACAAAAAAAATCTGTAGTCTTTCATCTTCTACCCACTATAAACTCTCTACTGTGGGGCTTCTATATGATGCTGCATGAGCAAGAGTGGTCCAGAGTAGGGCAGGATCTGAGTGTCTGATCAGATTCTGTTGTAAGAGAAGACACCTCAGAGCAGAGCATCAAATGCTTCACGGGCTGCTTAATTGGTGGGCGGCACCGCAATTAGACAGGAACAGCAGCAGTCACATGAATAACTTGGCAAGCTTTTTTGTCTTCTCTGTTAACAAACTAGGTGTAGTGATGCATGCCTCTAGTTCTAGCACTTGGGAGGGGGAGGCAGGAAGATTAGGGATTCAAGGTCATCCCTGACTAAATACTGAGATGAGCCTGAACTACTTAGAACCTTGTCTCAAAAAATAACAATGAAGCCAGGTGTGGTGGAGGCCACCTTTAGTCCCAGCACTCAGGAGAGAGAGGCAGGCAGATCTCTGTGAGTTCGAGGCCAGCCTGGTCTACAAATCGAGTTCCAGGACAGCCAGAGCTATAACACAGAAACCCTGTCTTGAAAAACCAAATCCAATACTAATAGTTTTATTTGTAAAATTTTGTATATATGTGTATGTGTCTCTGTGTGGGTATATACACACTAGTACAGGTGCCTGTGGATGCCAGAAAAGGATTGCTGGATCCCGTGGAACTAGGTAGTCATGGCCATCCGGTCTAGGTGCTGGAAATGAATTCTGCTCTTCTGCAAGAGCAGTATATAGTCTTAACTGCTAAGCTATCACTCCAGCCTCTAAAATAAACTTTTAGTTCTTAAATACTTTCAGCTTCATGTAGAACCCTCTAGAACCCACATCCTATTCCCTCATTGTTCTTGTCTTATGTTACTATGGGACATTTTGGCACAACCAATGAGTCCAAACTGAATTATTATTATCAGCCAATTCAGAGGTTAGTAAAAGTTGGATAGAAAAGTCCCCAAAAGGCTCATGGATTAAAGGTTGGGTCTCCAGCTACTGGCACTATTGAGAGGTGACGTCTGTATCAAGGTACTGAAATAATTGATGGATTAATCTACTGAAGAGTGTTCTTCTAATTGCATCTCCGTGGCGGTGATAAAACACTCTGACCCAAAGCAACTTGGATTAGGAAAGGATTTATTGGCTTACAAATCCAGGTCACAATCCCTCCTTTATCACATGCCTCTCCTGCCATGTTGTCTCAACACCAGCTATAAACAATGGGGCCAGACAGAAGACTCTCTGGCTGCAAGCCAAAATAAGTCTCCTTGTTTTAAATTGTTTTTCCAAGGCATTTTGTCACAGGATGGAAAGAGAGCACAGAGTTCCTCAGATATCCCCTGCTGCCATCCCAATGTCCCTTCGATCTTTGGGATCCTTGAATCTGGGGCAGTTTCTCAGGATTTGCTTATATTTGATGATCTGCATAGTTTTCAAGTATTACCTGCACTTTGTAGCCTATACCTGTGATCCTAGAGCTGAGGAGGCTGAGACAAAAGGGTCGTGGTTTTGAGGCCAGCCTGAGATCCTTAGCAAAGTCATGTTTCAAAAATATTAATAAATAAATAAATAGCCTGAGGAAAAAAAGCTCCATCCATAAAGTGATTGCCTCTTAAGCACGAGGACCTAAGTTTCATCCCCAGCACCCACTGCCAGATGTGGTGACATATGCCTGTAATCCCAGTGCTGGGGAGATAGAGACAGGAGGGTCCCTGGGGCTTGCTGGCCAGCCAGCCTACCATACTCTGTGAGCTCCAAACTAATGAGACCTTGCCTCAATGGAGGCAGAAAACATTTGTGAGAATGGTTGTCCTTGTCCTCTGGTCTCCACATGCATGTGCGTGTGTATACACACACACACACACACACACACACACACACACACACACCTGCATCTATCTGTACACCCATGAACACTCGCACACCTACATACGCATGTGTTCTAGTTTGTTTTGATATGATAAACACTGCGGAAAAACAGCTTAGGAAGGAGAGGGTTTATCTCATGATACAACTGCAGGTCACAATCTCTCACTGAGGGAAGTCAGGGCGGAAACTCAAGGCAGGAACCTGGAGGGAAGAACTGAAGAAGAAACCAGGGATGAAGGCTGCTTACTGGCTTGCTTCCAGGATCACATTCAGCTGCTTTTCTTACACATCCCAGGCCCCCATGTCTAGGATGGTGCCACCCAAAGTGGGTTAGGCCCTCCTCATTAACGAGCAAGCAAGACAATGCTCCCACATACATGCCCTCCAGCCAGCGGATGGAGGTAATTCTTCAGCTGAGGCTCCCTCTTCCCAGGTGTGTCAAGTTGATAACTAAAACCAACTATGACAACATGCATTCAAAAGGCGGTGGGGCCTGGCGACATGGCTCATCAGGTAAAGGCACTGAGCCTGCCAACCTGAGCTCTATCCCTGGAATCCATAGGGTGAAAGGAGAGAACCAACTCCTGCAAGTTGTCCTCTGACTTACAGAGAGAGAGAGAGAGAGAGAGAGAGAGAGAGAGAGAGAGAGAGAGAGAGAGAGAGAAAGTAAGTGAAGAAATAAATGTGAAAAATATAAGAATATAAGAGAAAATAAAACATTAAAGGGGCTAGAGAGATGACCCAGTGGTTAAGAGCAACTGCTGCTCTTCCAGAGGACCAGAGTTCATTTGCCAGCACCCATGTTTGGTGGCTCAAAACTGCCTGTAACTCTAACTCCTGAGGATATGAAGATTCGATGCCCTCTTTTGGCCTCTGTGTGCACCTGCACACACACACACACACACACACACACACACACACACACACACACACACACACACAAATATTTTAAGAACATTAAAGAATCAAGTATTGTGAATGGTAATTCAAACTGGAGTCCCCTGCTGTTTTCCCACACTTGGTGTGGTTATGGGTTTAGGGAGAAGTAGCAAAATGCCACTGTCATTATATCAACTCAAGACTAGGTACTACATATGTGATTTGTCGGTGTTGAGGTGGACCTTTGACCCTGGTAGCAGCCTGAGGCATTATTTGTCAAATTTCTCCACCGTTTTTCCTCTGCTCCGTCTTTATATTGTACTCTCTAGAACAGTGGTTCTCAACCTGTGGGTCACGACTCCTTTGGGGGTCAAATGACCCTTTCACGGGGGTCACCTAAGACCATTGGAAAACACAGATTCGATTCAAAACAGAAGCAAAATTACAGTTATGAAGTAGCAACGAAAATAACTTTATGTTTGGGGGTCACCACAACATGAGGAACTGTGTTAAAGCATCACCACATTAGGAAGGTTGGGAACCACTGGGCTAGAAGGAAGTCAGTACACATTTATGGACATGTCCTCTACGTCCTTCATGGGTGAGCTGGTTTGTTTTCATTGGTGCATCCAAAATTTCTGGCAAAAACAACTTAAGGGAAGTGTCTTAATTTCTTTTTCCGGTTTCTGGTTGCAGTGATAAAACATTCTGGCCAACGCAGCTCAAGGGAGAACAGGTTTATTTCGCTCACTGTTCAAGGTATAGTCCACCAGCATGGTGAGAAAGCCAAGGCAGCAGGAGGCTGAAGGAGCTGGTCACATGACATTTACAATCTGGAAGCAGAGAGCCATGAGTGCATGCGGCTGTCCAGCTCCCCTTCTCCTCTTCCATAGCTCACCACACCAACCAGGGAATGGCACCACCCACAGTGGACCAGTCTTTGATCCTCAGTTAACTCAATCATGATAGTCCCCACAGGCATGCCCAGAGACCTTTCTCCCATGTGATTCCAAATAGAGTCAGTTTGACAATTCACACAAACCATCACGGCAAGAAAGATTTATCTTACAGGGTTCAGTTCACTGAGTGACGCTGGCAATCCCAGTGTGTATGTACACTGTAATATCAGAATCATTAACCTATACCCTGCTAGGAAACATCTCTAACAACTAAAGCACAATGCTATGGACGCTTCTTTCTGCCTTTACCTATAAAGACTCCACTGACTTCCAAAATCACGTTGGTCAGCACCCCATGCAGACACATCTGAATTGGTTTCCTTTTTGACATTTAGTGTGGGGGGGGAGGTGTGGGGGGATGGCTGTTGGAGGGCAACTTGCACAAGTTGATTCTCTCCTTCACTTCGTGGCTGGAGATCGAACTCAAATCCTCAGGTTTGGCAGCAGGTGCCTGTATCTGCTGAGCCATCTCACCAGGCCCAAGTTATTTGTTTGTTTGTTCTTTCTAGGTGAGTGTTCTACCAGCTGAGCTGCATCCCTATCCTCACTTGCTTTCTCTGGATTGAGTCTCCCTTTCTGTTGCTAATAACACTAGCCCATGGGGCTCTTGGGGTGACATTTTCTGTGGATCATGGATCATATGTCCCACTGAGTCTTACCAGTTCCCTCTACCGTCACGGGCCCCATTGAACTGATGACCATGTTCCCACCACCACCACACCCTACCCCAAACCAACCCCACTTGAATCCTCTCTACCTGCCTTCCAGGGCCACGGTGAGATGACCCCAGCAAGTCTCTGTGTCTGCCTGAGGACCACTGGTTGTCCCTCTGCACAGCCTGGGTACTGGCCAAGCTGTCCCGCCCTCCTGCTGGTCTACCTGGTAACTGGGAGCTTCTCAGGTTACCCAGAGGATCGCTTTGCCTTCGAAACTCCAGCTGTCCCCTCCAAGGCATCAGTAACTGATGCCAAAGCCCTGAGCGACACAGAGCCGACAGAAAGCTGGTGTCCCTAGATGCTCTACAAATGTTTGGCCTTGTCCTCTGACCACCACAGTCCTCAGAGTGGCAGGTGAGTAGGCAAATGTGGGGAGTTGGGAATGGGTATGACACCCAGTAATCTACCTTGGGAGCCCCCAACATGACTTTAACTCAGTTAGCCTTTTGGGGATCCAGCATCCTGGGGTGGATGAGTGGGGGTGGGTCGGGGATGAGGCAACAGGAGAATGAGAAGGAGAGGGCAGTTCAGTCAGTTCTCGGTGGACAGAGACACATCAGAAAGTCTGACACAGTTCTGAAGTCCCCGGTACCTGCTGACAGCTTATTTACTTGGTGTTGCTGTGGGTGGGGGGTGTGATGGGGGACGGCACGCATGTCAGTGCGTATGTGTGGAGGTCAGAGGACAGCACAAGGGTCCAGGGATAGAACACCAGTCCTCAGGCGTAACAGCAACTGCCTTTACCAGCTGAGCTATGTCACCAGTCTTTTTTTGTTTTGTTTTTTTGTTTTTTGTTTTTCGAGACAGGGTTTCTCTATGTAGCTCTGGCTGTCCTGGAACTCACTCTGTAGCCCAGGCTGGCCTCGAACTCACAGAGATCCGCCTGCCTCTGCCTCCCGAGTGCTGGGATTAAAGGCGTGCGCCACCACCGCCCAGCATCACCAGTCTTGCTGATAGCCTCTTTGATCCTGCTAAACTCACTGGGTTGGGTGGGAAGGGGCGAGGGGCCCCGTTAGGTAGCTGTACTACCCAGCATAGATGTGCTGCTCAGAATAAGTGTGTTTGGAAGAAGACTGTGAGCCATAGCTCCAAATTCAGTTCCAAATTAGCCCTTCGTTTTTCTGAGATGGGCTCACCTGTAGCCCAGGTCAGCCTTGAACTCACGACCCTCCTTCCTCAGTCTCCTAAGTGCCAGAATTATAGGCATGTGCCACTTCTCTCAGCTTCTCAGTCTCTCACTATTGACACAGAGCTGTGTGGTGGAAGGAGACACTATGGAAATAGCCAGGGGGAAGGGCCTGGTTCTGCCGTCTCCCACAGGGCCAACCTTGTGTTAGGACTTGCTCGTCTGGTCTTAGGGTGCCGTATAGAAAAACCCTCCTTCTGCCTGTGATGGGGAATACAAATGGTTGTTAGGGCCTCTGCCCGCTCCAACGTTCTGAGCTGAAATTACTTATGAAGTGATTTAGGCAAGATTTCCTGTCTCTTAGGCCCCCTCTCTTGCTACCCTCACTGGGTCTCATATAACCCAGGCTAGCCACAAATTTGTTATGTAGCCAAGGATGACCTTGAACTTCTGGTCCTCTTACTTCCAGCCTGGAATCACATGCATGTACCACAGGGCCTTACGTGGTGCTGGAGATAGAACTGAGGCTTTGTGCATGTTAGGCAAAAACACCATCAGCTTCACCCTCAGACATACATGTATTTATTTTATTTGAAATAGGGTCTCATGCAACCCAGACTGGCATTCCATAGTTCAGGCTGTCCTTGAACTTCTGATCCTAAGGCCTCCACCTCACACATGCTAGGATTATAGCTAGGCACCCATATGCCTGATTTATTAGGTACTGGGGATGGACCCCAGGGCCTCATGCATGCTTTGTGGGGACTCTGTCAACTGAGGTACTGATTTATTAGGTACTGGGGATGGACCCCAGGGCCTCATGCATGCTTTGTGGGGACTCTGCCAACCGAGCTGACCCTCCAGCCCAAGACTCAGCATCTCCTGTGGTTCATGAACTGACTTCAGATTACTCTAAGATGAGACAATGTCACCACCTTACCTGTTCCCAGTGGACCACAGGAGCTCAGTTTTGATAAGAGACAGAGAAGTATCCCTGACAGCCCACACCCAGCCTTGGGCAGAGGAGGACTAGGGGTCCTTTATCTGTAGCCTCAGGATGGACACTACCTTCCCCGCCAACCCCAGGCTGCCCATTGTGAAGAATTCTCACAGTGTTCACTGGTGACAAGTGACACAGGACACCTCACTTCCCATCACCCAAAGGACACGTCCTCGTAATTCATCAAGCTATTAGAAATCTGGGTCCCCTTACCTTCCTCAACTCTCCAGGTTCTAAGTAGTGACTCCCCAGGCTTCCTTGGGAAGGGTGTTTCCTCAGAGAGTGAGTCCCTGAGATGACTCCTGGAGGCAGGTCTCCAAGACCCCACTGAAGACTGAATGACATCTGAGTCCGGGGTCCTTAAAACTCAGCCTTCCTACACTAGGGATGCAGTTTAATCGGAAGAGGGCTGGCCTAGCATGCATGAGAAGAGGGCTGGCCTAGCATGCATGAGAAGAGGGCTGGCCTAGCATGCATGAGAAGAGGGCTGGCCTAGCATGCATGAGAAGAGGGCTGGCCTAGCATGCATGAGAAGAGGGCTGGCCTAGCATGCATGAGAAGAGGGCTGGCCTAGCATGCATGAGAAGAGGGCTGGCCTAGCATGCATGAGGAGAAGAGGGCTGGCCTAGCATGCATGAGAAGAGGGCTGGCCTAGCATGCATGAGAAGAGGGCTGGCCTAGCATGCATGAGAAGAGGGCTGGCCTAGCATGCATGAGAAGAGGGCTGGCCTAGCATGCATGAGAAGAGGGCTGGCCTAGCATGCATGAGAAGAGGGCTGGCCTAGCATGCATGAGAAGAGGGCTGGCCTAGCATGCATGAAGCCCTGGGTTCCCTCTCCAGGGTAGCACAAAACCACATATGGTGGTGCATGCCTATAATTCCAGCCAAGGAGACAGAGGAAGGAATGTAAGGTCAGTCTGAGGTACACAGCGACTTTGAGACCAGCCTGGACGTGAGATCCTGTGGCAAGGAAACAACCTTCCAGGGGCTGGAGAGATGGCTCAGTGGTTGAGAGCACTTGCTGCTCTTCCAGAGGACCCGGGTTCCCAGCACCCACATCAGGGAGCTTACAACTGCCAATAACTCCAACTCCAGGGGAACCCAAGATTCTTTTCTGGACTCTTTGAGTATGTACACATATACAGACACATACACATTAAAAAAATAAAAACCAGCCGGACGGTGGTGGTGCCAGCCTGGTATACAAAGTGAGTTCCAGGACAGGCACCAAAACTACACAGAGAAACCCTGTCTCGAAAAAACCAAAACTAAAATAAAATAAAAACCAGTTTTCAAGGGCCTCTCCAAGCTAGGCTAGCATCAGGAGCCCTTAGACACCACCACCCCCACAACAGATACTCCCAGGACTCAGGAAGCTAAAGTCAGGAAGATTTCTGTGAGTTCATGTAACATGAATCTTAGATGGTCTTATTAATAAAATCAAACTCGGAGCCAGGTATTGGGGTGAATGCTGGAAGATCAGAGAAGCAGAACAAGCCACAGCTTCCTCATCTCGCAGTTCCTCAGCTGATCCTGTTTCCTCAGACTGGAAGCCTCTGTGTCCTTATCCAAATGGATCTCAGCTGAACTGCTTCTCGAAAGCCTGAAAGCTTAACCAGGCTCTAGTTCCTGGTCCTCATGCCTTAAAAACCTTTCTGCCATCACTTCCTGGGATTAAAGGCATGAGTCACCATGCCTGGCTGTTTACTCACAGAGATCCAGATGGATCTCTGACTCTGGAATGCTAGGATTAAAGGTGTGAGGGCCACCATTTTCTGGTCTCTATGTCTGTCTAATGGCTGTTCTGTTCTCTAACCCCAGACAAGTTTATTAGGGTGCATGACATATTGGGGAACACATTATCACCACAAGTTCATGGCTAGCCTGGACTACATAGTAAGACCCTGCCTTAAAAAATAAAAAAGATGGCCGAAGAGACGGCTCAACCAGTAAACTGAGTTTAATCCCTAGAAGCCACATGGAGAAAGTTAAAAAAAAAAAAGGCAGAGCATGGCAGTTCAGAGCTGAGGAGACAGACAGACAGATACAGGCAGATGACCAGTCAGTCTGGCCTAACTGGAAGAGAGTTCTAAGCCAATGAGAGACTATGTCTCAAAAAAAAAGTGGATGGTACCTGAGGAATGACACCCAAGATTTTCCTCTGGCCTCCACATACACACGCCACACACACTCACTCATATGCACTCACCCACACAGGCAAGCACATGGAAACACACACAGACATCACATCACATATTGCCCACCATGCAGAAGCCCTCTGGAGTCTCCTGTAAGAAATTCTACCCCCAAAACAGACAGAAACACAAATTCTCCCAGCCAGACTAGCCCATCCTTTTGAGTATGTGTTCTGAGCACACCCCAGCAGCCCACACAAGGGGTCTCTTTGGAGGACAGATAACTCCTCCTCAGAGCCCATCTAGAATTAGGCTCCCAGAGACCCCCGATCAGTCATGCCATCCTTTGCTAATGAGGAACAGAAGAGTCTTGACTCAAAAGGAAAGCCCCAACCATACCCCGTGTCAGTGACAACCAAAGGATCAAAACCCTGAGGCCTGCAGAACTACAGAGCAAGTTCAAGCCCATCCTAGGCAGGGCCTATTGTAGTGTCTCACACCTGTAAACCCAGTTCTCCAGAGGCAGAGGCAGAGGGATTGCTGCGAGTTCAAGGCCAGCCTGCTCTACATTTAGAAGAGAACCAAGACCTTTTCTTAAAAAATAAAAAATAAAGGCAAAACAAAAACAAAACACCAGCCTGGACAACTTAGCAAGACGCCTACTTAAAATTTAAATGTGGCCAGGAGTTAAGAAGAGGGAACTTTGCTGGGCGGTGGTGGCACATGCCTTTAATCCCAGCACTCAGGAGGCAGAGGCAGGCGGATCTCTGTGAGTTCGAGGCCAGCCTGGGCTACAGAGTAAATTCCAGGAAAGGTGCAAAGCTACACAGAGAAACCCTGTCTCGAAAAACAAAACAAAACAAAACAAAACAAAAAAAAAAAAAAAAAAAAAAAAAAAAAAACCAAAAAAAGAAAAGAAAAGAGAAGAAGAAGAGGAGGAGGAGAAAGAGGAGGAGGAGGAAACGTTGGAAAATGGATGTTTCCTGGAAGTCAGACATAAAGCAGGCCCTGGCCCAAGTTGTGACTTCATTCACAAAAAAAAAATATAAAAAAAAAAAAACAGGGCCTGGTGGTGCAGGATGTAGTCTTAGCTACTTGAGAGGCTGAGGCAGGTGGATCACAAGCCCAGAGCCCTCCTAGACTACAGAGTTCTTTAGTTCTAGGCCAGCCTGGCAACGTAATGAGAAATTTTTGCCTGCCATCCCCGCAATGAGGAGGGGGGCGGGGGCGTGGCTCAGAGGTAGACCCTGCGGTCAACCTGCAGCACTACAAACCCAAACCAAACCAAGAACCTCAAGTTAAGATTTCAAATAAATACCATGTCTTTCGTAACAGTGGGAGACTATTTCTCTATACAGTCCAGAGCTAAGGACAATGCAGATTGGTGATGTCTTCAGAGACACCCGCCCCCCCCCCACTTAGCCTTGGTATCCCCTGGCCACTGAAGGAGCACGCCAGCTGTCCTCCACCCTCTTTCTGAAAGCCGCATGTGTGTCTCCAGCCCCTATGATGTATCTGTGGGATATAACAGGATATGACACCTGTCTGCGTCCAGCAAACCAGTAGAGGGACTCAGGCCTAAGCAGGCCTCCACCTTCAGAACCATACCGGCTTCTCTCCCTCTCCTCTCTCTCCAGCGGTTCCGACACAGCAGCAATGCCAGCCACCAACCAAGGTTGGCCTGAGGACTTCGGCTTCCAGCTGGCCGGCTCTGGGCCCTGCTTCGTGATGGAGGTGGCTGAAGGAAGCAGCGCGCACGCCGGGGGACTGCGGCCGGGGGACCAGATTCTGGAGGTGGAGGGGCTGGCTGTGGGTGGCCTGAGCAGAGAGCACCTCGTGCGCTTGGCACGACGCTGCCCTCGAGTGCCACCCAGCCTCGGTGTACTCCCTGGCCCCGAGGGTGGCCCCACAGCCTTGACAGCAGCCTGGCTAGCCCCACGATTTGGCCGCAGCCTCCCGCTGGGCCGCGAACTGCTGCGTTTGGCTGGCCGCCCCAGACCAGACGCTGTGCACAGAGAGCGCAGGCGCAAGGCCCAGGAGTTCAGCTGCAAGGTAGGGCACCCAGAGAAAGAAGGGGCTGGGCACAGTCCTGGGCTGCTAGCTGAGCAAAGTTCTTTTTGTTTGTCTGTCTATTTGTCTTGTTGTTTGTGTTAGGTTTCTGGAGACAAGGTTTCTCTGTGTAGCTCTGGCTATCCTGGAACTCTATCTGTAGACCAGGCTGGCCTTGAACTCAGAGATCTGCCTGCCTCTGCTCCCCGAGTGCTGAGTGAGCAAAGTTCTTGAGGAAGATTTACAAAGCAAGTTCCTAGCCAGGCTGGGCTACATCGTGAGACCCTGCCTCCAAAATAAATGGCTCATAGCGGAATGATTCATTGATTGATGATAAACAGGTGATATATAAATTAATCGATGTTTGATAGATGAAAGCTAGACAGGTAAGTAGGTAGATAACAGGCAGATAGATAGATGGATAGATGGATAGATAGATAGATAGATAGATAGATAGATAGATAGATAGATAGATGGATGGATAGATGATACGAGCCTCCGTAGATAGATATAAACATGTAGGTAGATAGACTAGTGATAAATAGATGATTGATAGGTAGATCGGCAAATAGATGACAAGTAGGTAGGTAGGTAGGTAGGTAGGTAGGTGATAAGTAGGTAGATAGATGAATGATAGGTAAGCAGATAGGTAGATGATAGGTAGATGGATAGATGATAAGTAGGTAAGTAGGTAGGTAGATAGAGGATAGATAGGTAGGTAAGTAGATGATAAGTAGGTAGATAGATGATAGGTAGGCAGGCAGGTAGATAGATAGATAGACAGACAGACAGACACATGTCCCTGCTCCTCATTTGTCCAGGCGCCAGCAGAACAGAGTGAAGTTGTAAGTGGCCAGGGAATTCTCTGGAACATAGACATTCTATTTCACCTGGAAACTCGGCTTCTTGACAAGGATATTTGAACTGAGCCTGTGCTCCATAGAAGGGAAACTCCTCAATCTTGGCCCTAGGCAGGTGGGGGGGGGGGTGACCACTAGGGTTTGGGGGGGGGGGTCTCAGAAGCTAAACTAAAGAAGTTCACTGTCCACCCACACAAAGTTTTCTACAGAGGTCCAGACAGTTTTCTAGAATGGCTAATAGCCATGTAAGATTCCCTCATTCCAACATGAAGCTTCAGAGATGAAAGGGGCAGTAGGGAGAAATGCTGGGGAGACTCCTGTAGGTTGTCGTCTGATCCCGGATCCCAGCTTGCATGATATGGCATGCATTTGCCTCCCCCTTAACATATAAAATAAAAATTTAAAATGTTAAAAAAAAAAGAGTTCAAGGTCATCTCCTCCTATTTAGAGTGTTTGAGGCTAGCCAGGGATGTATAAAATGCAGAGAGAGAGGGAGAGGAGAGAGAGAGGGAGGGAGAGAGAGAGAGAAAGGAAAGAAGAAAAAGAAAACAAATCATGTTTGCTACTGTCCCAGATGATTTGCTGGGATGAGGGGAGCTGAAAGCTTGTCCCATCTAATTCCTGCAGAATTGGAAGGCAGCATGCTTAGAGCCCCCAGTAAGGCAGAGTGGACATATAAACTCGCCCAGGAAGCAGAACTGGTAAAGATGGACTCTGCCTGGCAATCAGGGAAGGTCTGACGCAATGTTTTTCTGGTTGGGGCTTACCAAGCTCTCCCGAAAAGTAGGTAGATCCCAATAAAAGATGGCCTCTGTGGAACCCTCACTGGTTTATAATAACCAGCTCCCCCCACCCAGGTTCCCACCAGTACTCTGCCTGCCCCAGTTTTTGCTCCTTTAAATCGCTGGTATTTAATAGAAAATCCATTAGTGTCCCGTGATGGAGCCGCATGGTTAGATGTAGGTTGGAAACATCTGGGTAATAACTGACACCGAAACCGCTCTGTGGCCTGGGCCCCAGGAGGGGGAGCTATTTTTTCCTTTCTTACATAAAGCATCCTTGCAGCTAGCCACACACTCTTGAAACCAGGCTATTGCTGCTGACTTTGATTCCAAACCTGCAAGCCCTCACAGTGTCACAGGTGTGCAGGGGGTGGTGGCGGGGGTGGTGGCTGGTGTTACAGACTGTCCTAACCCCTTTGAAGACAACAGAGGAGAGCAGGGGACCTTAGGAAATGCTGTGTGGCTGCCACCGCCCTTTAGATCCACCACATAGATATGCATGGAGAACCTGCTGTGTGCCAGGTCCTGTGCTTGAGGCTGGACTGAAATCAGGTGAGGAGCCATAATAGCTGATGGGCATATTGACAGTGACATGCCAAGATTCCAAGTGTTAGGATTCAAGTGGCCTCTGCTTAGAGTCCCTCAATGTCACCTGCTAATGCTAATTCATTCTCTACTCTCACTGCTCTAGAAAGTCTGCCATGATGCACTAGTGGAACCACCTAGAAAGCAATTGGGGAGCCTTAAAGATAGCTCAGTATATAAAGGCACGTGCCACACCAGCCTGGCGACCAGAATTCCATCCCCAGAATCCATGTAAAGGTGGAAGGAGGGGACCGACTTCACAAGGTTGTCTTCTGAACTCCACACTTGGGCACACACATACACAATAATAATACATTTTTAAAGGATTTATTTTATGTATATGTATGAACGGCTGAGTGTACGTGTACCATGTTTGTGCAGTACCCATGGAGGCCAGAAGAAGGCATTGGATCCCTGGAATTGGAGTTACAGGAGGTTATGAGCTGTCCAAGTTGGGTTCTGGAAACCCAACCCAGGTCCTCTGGAAGGGCCACAAGCACTCGTAACCACAGAGCTGTCTCTTTAGCCCCATATGTTTTTGTTTTTTAAAAAAGCAGTCAGGGGTCTGGAGAGATGGCTCAGAGGTTAAGAGCACTGACTGTTCTTCCAGAGGTCCTGAGTTCAATTCCCAGCAACCACATGGTGGCTCACAACCTCCTATAATGAGATCTGGTGCCCTCTTCTGGCCTGCAGAGACACATGCAGGCAGAACACTGTATACATAGTAAAATAAATATTAAAAAAAGAAAGAAAGAAAGAAAGCAGTCAGACATGAATTCAGTTCCAAGGTTCAGTAGCAGGACCAGCAAACGGCTCCGCAGGAAAAGCCACACTTGCTGTGAAAGCCTGACCCCTAAATTCAGTTCCTGGAATCCACAGTAGAGGAGAGAACCGACTCCAGCAATTGTCCTCTGACCTCCACACATGTGTTGTGGTGCACACTCATGCACACACACACACACACACACACACACACACACACACACAAACACACAATGTAATAAAAATGTAACGACAAACAGAAAGATTAAACTTCCCGCATAAGTTGTCATGTACCTGCTTTGTCAGGACATTACTTGAATGAATTCATAGATATCAGGTCATAGCTATCAGGTCATTGAAGGAAAGAATGGACTTTAGCCAGGTGTGGTGATACATGCCTGATCCAAGGCACTTGAAAGGTGGAGGCAGGAGACCAAGTTTGAGACCAGACTGGACTACTTAGCAAGAACCTGTCCAAAAAAGAAAGACAGAAAGGAAGAAATGGAGAGAGGGGGGAGAGAGGAAGGGAGAGGAGAGAGGGAAAAAGGAAAAGGAAACCAGCTCAGTCTGCTGGCACAGGCCTGTTATCTCAGCTGCTCAGAAGGCTGAGGCAGGGGGATGACAAGGTCAAGGCCTGCCTGGCTGCAGAAGAGATTCAAGCTCAGCCTGGACAGCTGAGTGGGGCCATCTCAAAATAAAAAGGGAAAAAAGACTGAGAGTGGAGGGCCACTGAGGAAGACGCCCGATAATGTCCTCTGGCTTCCACATGTACACATGTACACACGTAAACACCACACACACAAAGAGGCGCTGGGCAATGTAGCTTCATGACACTTGTCTCGCATGAAAGAAAGCCTGGATTCCATCCTCAGTGCTGCAAAACAGAAACAAAAACTAATGAGAGAAAGAGAGAGAGAGAGAGAGAACTTTGGGTATATTAACAAGCTACTTTCTGGGGACACTGTGTGCATTTGCACACCCAGTTTCAATGGCCCCCACACCCCTCTGAATAGATGTTCCCTTATTAACATTAGCTAGTTACGTGCATGAAGAGAAAGAACACCCAGAAAAAAGTTCAGAGAGAGAGTTAAAATTCATAGCAGGGCACACCTTCTGCTTTTATGGAACCAGAATATTCTCTGTAGGGACCCTTAGCAAACAGTGCTGTGGAACGGAACACCAGCATAGTATTGTAATAATAGTAACTAGCAATTAGCGAGTGCCTGGCACGTGTTTAAGCACTTATATTAAGTCCTTTGATCCTTAGATTCCTTGGAATGGCTGCTCCTGGGCTGATGAAATGGCTCAGCGGGTAAAGGGACCCAAAGCCCAATGACCTGAGTTCAATCCCTAGAACCCACATGATGGGAGAGAACTGACTCCTGCCAAGTTGTTCTCTGACTTCCACAGATGCAGATATGCAAAGAAATGTTTAAAAACAACAACAACAAGCAAACAATTGCGGCTCCTGGGTTCAAATCCTGAGCTGATAACTTTGAACTGTCCTCCCACAAGTCACTTCTCTGCAAGTCCTTTCTCTGTCAGCCTCTGTGACCTGAGCTCGTTAGCTACAAAATGAAGATATTAATAGTCTCTATCTCAAGGACAGCTGAGCGGTTAGAGGTGAGGCCCAGTGGCCAGTGTTTCCTGTGCCAGCTATCCTGTGGAGGTAAACTGAGGACTCTCCATGGATCTACCTGGGATCCTCTCCTTGCAGGTAGATGACATCTTGGGGGACCAGCCAATAGCCAAAGAGCAGGTGTTCGCTGCACTGAAGCAGTTTGCTGCTGAGCAACAAGTGGATGAGCTGGTGTGGGCTCTTACTCTGGTGCTGCCCATCGAGGCCCAGGGGCCAGTCCTGGACAACCTCAGGTACCTCTGTTGATGGCAAGATGGGAAGACCAAGTGGGTTGCATTCAAGGAGGGTGTCTTTCCAGTACAAGTGGGATATGAGGCCTGCTCTCTAGAGCTGGTGAAAAAGGTGAACTATCATGGTGGTTGTGTTTGTGATGGTGAAAGGGACGGCTAGTGCTGGCCTGTGAAGGATCACCTCCTGAGGTAAAGCCATAGCTTTCTGACTCCACCCAAACCAAGATGGCAGGAATCTCCCATAAAATACCAAGGCACGCTCAGCTCCATATGTGACTGAGCAGTGGAGCAATATGAAGTTGTGGGTCCTGACACCCACCCAATCCTACAGGCAATACCCACTATCTGTCTCTTAATGCCTCCCCCCTCCTTGTTTTTTAATCTTTTGAGATAGGGTCTCCTTATGACACCCAGGTTGGCCTTGAACCCAAGGTTCTCCTGCCGCAGCCTCCCAAGGGATGTAATTACAGGGGTGAACCACCACTTCAGGCTCTTTCTATTTTAGTGTGTGTGTGTGTGTGTGTGTACACAGTCTTACTATGTAGCCCTGGATGGCCTGGACCTTGCTCTATAACCCAGGCTGGTCTCAAAGATCTACCTGCCTCTGCCTCCTGAGTTCTGGAATTAAAGTTGTCGGAGACACCATACCCAGCCATCTCCACCTTATATTTGAGACAAGGCCTCTCACTGAACCTGGTGCTCCCCATTTCAGCTAGACTGGCTGGTCAGGCGGGGAGCCCCAGGTTTCCACCTGCCAGCCCTTCCCCCATCTTAATACTGGAGTTACAGCGAGCCTCTGCATGTGGCTTTTTTCTGTCAGTGCTGAGGATGAAGCTTAGGTCTTCGTGCTTTGCTGGGCAAGCACCGTATCCACTGAACCATCTCCCTAGCCCCTACACTAGAGCTCTTTGATATCAGTTTGACGATGGTGATGATGAGTACGATGATGATGATGGTGATGGTGGTGGTGGTGGTGGTGATAGATGTGTGCCAAGAATGGCATTAGAACCTTGAAGGACACTCCGTTCATATTCAAGTTGAGGTTCTGAGAGGATCACAGCGCAAAGTCAGTGGCTGTCACAGGCTCTTGAATCCAGTTACCTGTTTCACCTTAAGTTTATTGGAGAAAATTCCTGGCTTGAAGTGACCCAGGAATATCTCGGATCCCTGGCCTCCTTCAATGAGTGCCATATCTATCGGACAGCCTCTGAGGTTTTTCATACTCTGGCTGTGAGTCCTGCTGGGCTTTCTCTCCAGGCTCTTGTCTCTGGGGCCAGCGATTACCCCGACCCCTCCCCCTTCCCGGGCTCAGTCTGCCCCCTCCCCTCGCTGCCATTCACCCCGCGGTCTGCCCCTCCCTCTGGGCCTGGCCAATGTCAGGGACTGGGCTGGCCAGCCCCCCGCCCCCACCAGCCAGGGCTCAGCATCTTGACTCTGCAGCGAAACGCATTGGAGGCCACCGAAAGAGGCCACCATGAGCTGCCTGGGGTGAGTAAGGGGACTGACTCTTGTTGGGGAGATGAAAAAAAAGCTCTGGATAGAAAAAAAAAGTTATTTCTAGGGCGGAATTTGTCGCGGAGCTGGTGCAGGGGGCTGAGGACTTCCTGGGGAGGTGACAGATAGGCAGAGCTCGATTCTGCCCAGTTCCATGAGGGCTGGGCTTGTAGGGGACGCGACGGTCCCCAGGGAACTTGGCGCGTTTATCTCCAGGCCAGACTCAGCTGGAGGCTCGCTCAGATTTCCTGGTTTCATCTCGATGCTGCGGGGCTTCTGTCTCCGCCACCTCTCTTGGGACAGCGGCAGCGGTAGCTGCCTCTCTGTTGGCTGCTTTTCGTCCCCAAGCGACCGACAGGCCCCTGTCAACTGAAGATCAGGAAGGGAGGAGGTGGTCTAGATTTAGAGCCTGGAAAAAGCGGGAACCCCTGGACACTCCGGGATGCCCCGGTGGCCCGCTGCTTCCCTGGGGTGCTGCTGGGAGGATGAATGGAAAGTCTGTGTTGCCAGCGGGTGTCAAGTGCGACAGGAAAATTGGGGAGGTTGTTGGAGGAGGGGGCGGCGCCCAGCTGGGCTCCGAAAGGAGGGTAATATGACAGTGGGGGACTTCAGACAACGCCTCCCCCCCAACCACCACCCTTCCAACCGTTCTGCACTTCCTAACACCTCCCTTCCTGGAGCTGGCCAGCTGCCAACGTGTGCTGGGCTCTTGGGGTGTGTTGGGGATTTGAGTGGAGTCTTTCGGAGACGTCTCAGAAGAGACAAGGAAGCATAACAGCCTCCGTAGCTAATTCTGAGATCCAAGCTCAGGGGCATCCCATTGCTAACCCAGACTCCTGCAATCAGGGCAGGGACTCAGCAGGTGTCAGCACTACACCTCAGAAAGTTGGGTCACAGAGGGGTCTGGAAGTGAGTTCTGGGGACAGGAAGGTCAGTCACCAAGAAGAGTTCACCATCAAGCATCTAGTCGCAGAAGGCAAGAGCATGGGACCCCAGTTTGCCATTGAATGAAGTCAGTAGGGAATCACTCCCCTGGCCCAAGGAGCCAAGACAAGGCTTAAATAAGAGGTTGAATAGACAAAAGGTGGTAGGTGGTGATGGTGATGATGATCATGATGATCATGATTGATGGTGTGTGTATGTGTGTGTGTGTGTGTGTGTGTGTGTGTGTGTGTGTGTGTGTATGTAAAGCTTTCTTTAGAGCTACTTGGGAGGTTAAAGCTGGAGGATCACAAGTTCAAAGCCAGCCTGGGTAATTTATCAAATCCATGGCTATAAATAAGTAATAAATAAATAATCTTCCCAAGGAGGTTAGAATCCACTTGGAACACAGAAGTATGGCCTATGATGGGGGTAGAATTGGGGGTGACTGCAATGGCCCAAGCAGAAGGGAGAAGAGCTGTGGAGCGAGACCAGGATCCTGAGTCCTCTCCCACAGTAGCCACTAAGTACATGTGGTTATTTAATATGGATGAATTTTTCATAAATTTGGATGACCACACAACAGTAACCCCAGCACTTGGGAGGCTGAGGCAAAAAGACTGCACATTTGTGGGCAGCCTGGGTTGCATAGCAAGGCCCTGGGGTCAGTTCCCAACACTGCAAACAACCAGGGATGGTGGCTGGTCTGCAGTGGCGCACACCTTTAATCCCAACACTCAGCACTCGGGAGGCAGAGACAGGCAGATCTTTATGAGTTCGAGGCCAGCCTGGTCTACAGAGGGAGTTCCTGGACAACCAAGTCTACACAGAGAAACAGAACGAAACAAACAAACAAATCAAAACAGGGAGAGCAGTGTACGCCTATAATCTCAGCATTAAGGAGGTGGAGGTCGAAGGCTCAGAAGTTCAAGGTCATCCTAGGCTACATAACATGGAAACTGTCAAATATATATATATATATATATATATATATATATATATATATATATATATATAGTTTATCTGGCTGTCATTAATTACACTTTAAGTATTTAATATAAATATAGAGTGAGTGGTTATCCTTTAGGACAGTGAAGACCTTGAATGTGTCCAGGTTTGTGGCCACAATTTGCAAAGGCATCCTGTTCCCTTATGCTTTTCTTGCTGCCACTCGGAGCCTAATTTGGGTCTGTCCCCCAAGGAATCCCAGTCTGATTAAGTGATAAAATGGCTTTCTAATTAGGACAGGACAGGCAGTTTGGAAAGTGTGATGTGTCCAGGAGGAAACAGAAAGAGCAGTTTGGGGGGGCGGGGGGGAAGGGCAAGGTAGGTAGAGAACAAAGCAGCTGGCGTGGCTAAGGTGGTGTGATTTGGAATTTCCAGCTGGAGGCCTGGGGTCTCTCCATGGATGGTACAACCTTGAGCCAAGTAAATTGATATCCATAGACTGTCTGATAAATAGGGTTTATCCTATGTGCTCCCAACAGGATTCTAGGTAGGTGAGTTGTGCTGACTATAAGCAAAAAAGAGGTAAGCTGGAGGCCTGAATGTGGAGGAGGGACCACCTGTGTCCCTTTTACCTCTTTTCTTTGGTGGTAAGTGTCAATGACACCATGATGCCTTGGAGCCAAACGTGGGGGTGCACACTTTTAGTAAACCTAGTACTCAGGCACCTGAGGTAGGGTTGCAAGTTTGAGTCTACACATGGGGTTCAGGACCAGCCTGAACTACCTCAAGAAACCTCATCACAAAGAAAGAAAAACAAAAACAGGAGGTAGTCCTGTGGTAGAGTTCTTTCCTAGTATGCCCAAGACCTGGGTGTGATCTCCTGGACCATACACACACAATATTTATATGCTATAATCATGTTGGAGAGACAGGAGCTTAATGGGTAAAGTGTTTGCTGTGAAAACCGAAGGACCCAAGTTTGGCTCTCTAGCACTCATGGGAAAGCCAGGGGCAATGGCACAGCCTATCATCCCAGTGCTGGGGAGGTGGAGCCAGGATCCCTGGGGCCCACTGGCCATCCTGCCTAATCAGTTCACTCCATGTTCAGTGAGAGAACCTGTCTGGATGAAAATAAGGTAGAGAGCAATTGAGGAAGACAGCCTACATTGACCTCTGACCTCTACATGCACACTAAGGCAAGGATATCACAGAGAGAGAGAGAGAGAGAGAGAGAGAGAGAGAGAGAGAGAGAGAGAGAGAGAGAGAGAGAAATATTTAAAAATAAACAAATCCAGGCGTGATGGCACCTGTCTTTAATCCCAGCACTTGGCAAACAGAGGCAGGCAGGTCTCTGTGAGTTCGAGGCCAGCCTGGTCTACATAATGAGTTCCAGGTCAGCCAGAGCTACATAGTGAGACCCCTTCTCAAATAAATAAAATAAAACAAACCAGTTATGGTAGCACACTCCTTTAATCTCAGTACTTGGGAGGCAGAAGCGGGTGGATCTCTATATGAGTTTGAGACCGGCCAGACACCCTGTCTCAAAAGAATAAAAAATAAAAATATTTATATATAAGGGCTGGGAAAGTGGCTCAGTGGCTCATGTGCTTTTGGCATGAGCATGAGAACCAGAGTTCAGA